GTGTTTTTCACCCAGTTATTATACATGTTTATCTATACTTTCACAAACTTATAGATGTTAATATCGTTCACATACACATAAAGATAAACACATATATTCACATACACATACTCATTCAAATTCATATATATACATACACATTCAAATTCATATGTATACAAATACATACACATATATGCATACAAATTCATGTACATAAAAATACATGCATACACATTCATTCGCATACATACATACATACACATACGTACATACATATACACATTCACATACACACACACACACACACACATATATATATATATATATATATATATAAATTCACATACATATACACATACACACATACATACATACACACATTCTTAAACATCCTTACACACATATTCACATACATACACATTCTCATTCATATATAAACATATACATATATACATACTCACATACATGTACATTTACATACATACATACATATACATATACAAATACATACATATACATATGTTAATTTCACTCCTATTCCTAATTACTATTATTATGTATTTTTAACTTTATTATTTTGCGCGTCATGTATGTATGTATACATGTAAGTAGGGGTGAGCATTTGGACCGGCCCGAACCGGACCGGACCGGCTCTTGGACCAGATCAGTTATGGAGAATTTTGTGGACCATGGACCGGACCGGATGAGTCGTGTCCCTGTCCATGTCCGTGTCTGGGTCCAGGTCCGGTTTTTGGACCCGTTTGGACCGGTACAACTTTAATTGCATAGAGTATAATAAGTAATCTACATTGATGTATAATATTATAACTTGCAAAATTAATATGTTTCCGTTTCATGCCTAACTAATCTACATTGATGTATAATATTATAACTTGCAATTTGCAAAAATTAATTTTCCAAATAAAAGCAACTAACATATAAATCAAGTTCACCAAAAAAAAGTTAAACAATTTTAAGACAAACATACAAAAGTATTACCGTAACAACAAAAATCATAGTTTAAACTTTAAAATCAATCAAACTAACAAATTTCATAAACTCATAATCTAATCTTCCATTGGCCTCTTCCCCATATCATTGTCATCCATATGTAACATATTTAAAGCTTGTGCAATCTCTACATAAACACAAATGAAAATGTTGTTAGTATTTAATAAAAAGTAATAATTGTATAAAAAAAGAATAAATATTGTAATTTTTTTACCCAAAGCTATATCATCATCGTTCAAGATGTCATCAACGTTGTCAACTATCGGATTTGTAAACTTTATCACCCAATCTTGGGTGCATAAGAAAGCTTCAACTATCAATGTCGATAGTTTGATACTCACTTACAACTCTACCATATGTGCTAAATGCGGGCTCGGAATTATAGTATAAAATAATACTAAAAAGCTGAAATATTTTAGCTTTGATAGCTCTACTTTGAAACTAAATGTTGGAAAATTGTAAAATAAATGTTGGAAAAAACCGTAGGTCAATCCGACTTAAAACGAATAAGTTATGGGTGTTTAAAAAACATCACAGATTACAAAATCTTGCTAAAAAACTGAATTTTAACTCTACTTTGATAGCTCTACTTTGAAAGATTGTAACTCAATGAATATAATACCAAAATAAACAAAATTATAGTCTAAATTCATCTACAAATTGTAAACTAAATGTTGGAAAAAACCGTAGGTCAATCCGACTTAAAACGAATAAGTTATGGGTGTTTAAAAACGTCACAGATTACAAAATCTTGCTAAAAAACTGAATTTTTTCAACTTTGATAGCTTTACTTTGAAGGATTGCAACTCGGTGAATATAATACCAAAATATACAAAATTATAGTCTAAACTCATCTACAAACTGTAAACTAAATGTTGGAAAAAATCGGAGGTCAATCCGACTTAAAACGAATGAGTTATGGGTGTTTAAAAAACGTCACAGATTACAAAATGTTGCTGAAAAGCTGAATTTTTTCAGCTTTGATAGCTCTACTTTGAAGGATTGTAACACAGTGAATATAATACCAAAATAAACAAAATTATAGTCTAAATTCATCTACAAACTGTAAACTAAATGTTGTAAATACCGCAGGTCAATCCGACTTAAAAAGAATGAGTTGTGTGTGTTTAAAAAACGTCACAAAAATCTTAATCATGTCCAACCGGTTCTAAACCCGGTAAAAACCGGACCGAACCGGGAAAAAAACCGGACCGGACCGGAGAGAAATCTTAGAACCCAGAACCGGCTTGGGGGTCCAAAAAAACGGTCCGGTCCGGTCCACCAGTTCAAATGTTCACCCTTACATGTAAGTATGTATGTGTATATATATGATAAATATATGAAATTTTCAAAATGAAATGAATTTGTAAATTTGTACGAAATTTTTTGGTTGTTATTCCACAACTTTTTTTAATAGTGCAATAATAATAATAATAATAATAATAATAATAATAATAGACCCTGTTAAAATAAACTAATTTATTTTTACCAATATTTTTCAAACTAACATATTTCTATCATTGTTTTTTAATAAATAAATAAAGAACTTACTGTAAGTGTGAGGAAACCGAGTTTTAGAGACTCAAAACTTAAAAATCAAACTATACTATAGATTGGACTATATCCCTACCGACCCTACGAGCTAACCAACATTATTGTGGAAAAATATCTGTTTGTTTAAGTCGCGGTCCTATTTGCACATTAAATAAGAAAAGGATATTGATTTTTCCACTTGAAGCTTTTACTCATCCACAGAAAAAATTGTGAATAGACATTTATACCCTTAATTTAATTACCAGTGATTATTGAAGAACTAGATACCAAGAACTTAATCCATCCCTGTGGAACTTCCAACTTTCATACACTTAATTTACTATTTCTTCTTGCGTCCCTCTGATTGCAGATGTACCCCGTGGGTTGTTTCTAAGCTTGCTAAAGGAAGAAGTTCACATCTTCGACTGTTTCTGATTCCTTGTGTTTTCTCTGTATTTTATAGGGTTTTACCCTGGTGTTTTGCCTTGTATTCTTTGAGCATTCATGTTCAAGATGATTATCCATCCAGTAGAGATTAAAATTGGTGTAACAACAATAACTTACACAGTAAAAGACTAAAAGTTATAAGTTGTTTGGAATAAAATTAGGTAAATGTTGATGGTTAATTTTCCTCTGGAAAATCTGAATTGGGGATATTGGAGAAGTTTAGTCATCATGGTTGATTAGATATCAAGGTTTGTCCATATATCCTGATCATGATAAACATAAATTTAACAAACCAAAGAGAAAAACTATATATCATAGTAAAATGTCTGATTACTCAAATACATTAGAAAAGAACATACATAAGAGAGTGATTACTCAAATACATTAGAAAAGAACATACATAAGAGAGAGCAGAGTGATTATAAGACATGGAAGAAAGTAAAAGTGAAAGAAGGTGCCAAGCATTGGTGGCTGGGTAATTAAAGGTGTTGGTGGCTGAGAGTGATTATAAGGCATGGAAGAAAGTAAAAGTGAAAGAAGGTGGCAGACATTGGTGGCTGGGTAATTAAAGGTGTTGGTGGCTGGGTAATTAAAGGTGAGATCTTTGCGTTGAACGCAAGCAGTTATTGTTAAATTTAGCACACCTAATCAAAACAAACATATCAGAAGAAACCTACAATTCTAACAGAAACCTACAATTGCTAATAGAATTTAGGATGGAGATGGAGCATTTTTAGGATTGGAGGGAGCCCTCGCTAGAGATAGATTCAAGTTCTTTTGGTCTTTCTATCTCTTCAGTAAATGATAATTAAATGGAGGGGTATAAATGTCCATACACACTTTTTTTTTTCTGTGTGTGAAATAAAAATCTCAGTGGAAAAATCATGACCCTAAGAGGAAGCAGTCGTCGGGCACATGGGGTCTTCATCTCTTTATGTGAATGTGGTGTATAAAAGCCGAATAGATGTTTGGTAATATTGATTCACAAAAATAAAAATGGGTTTCTCTGTTAAGAAACCAATGGCAATGGTCCTCCTTTTGACTATCTTTCTTCTTCTGATATCTTATTCGTATGCGCAGGGTGGTTATTCCAGGTAGGATAACATTAACTATACATCCATCTCTCTCTATTATTCTCGTAATCTTGTTATAAACAAAAGTATATGATGATACTTTAGTAGTTTATTCTTCTTCAATATATTAATTAATGGTACAAATAATAAAGTTTAAGGTGGACTTAATTGCACATCGATCCAATACTACTAACCAACTAAGCTGTCTATATAATTGCAGGGAACCCCCCGTTTATGGGACGACGCCTGATTATCCTGGTAGTGGAAGTGGTGGACGGTATCCTTCACCCCCATAATTAATATGCAATTCTCTTCGTATTCTGCAAATTTGAAGATGTCTTATAACTATATATATATATATATATATATATATATATATATATATATATATATATATATATATATATATATATATATATATATATATATATATATATATATATATATATATATATATATAAATCTGTGTTGTATTGATCATCAGATTCATAAAAACCTTTATATATTATATGTGTCATATGTGATGGCATTCATATTATTATATATAAATGAAAATGAAGTTGTAATAACCATGCATTCAGATTTATATCAAGCTTTTTATACATGTGAAAACTAATCTATAAGAAAGAAAAAACGGGTTAAGTACTGAACTACATTCAACATGCCAAAATCACCAGCTTAATTACCACATCGATTTCAAACAAGACATGTTTAACGGTATCAAGAAATGCTTGGAATATCCTACCTTCCACCTTTTTGGGAGGGATATAAAATTACAGCAGTTTGACTTGTGTGATGCTCCAATTTTGGTCAAACAAGAAGAAAATTTTTTTAATCAAGCAAAATGCAACATAGCTTCATCTTTTGTGTATCATCCATATATCACACAACAAAATTCAAAAATAGAGGGAACATCACACATATACAAAAAAAAAAAAAAAAAAAAAAAAAACAGACCCTCAAAAAATCACAAAACTTCTTGGAAGTAAGGGAACCTGTGGTGCACAGAAAGAACCTCATCCACATCCTCTTTGTTGAGTAAACACCAAGATGCTGACTAGGAGAAGCATTAGACATCTGTCAAAAAATCCAAGTCATTCAAGTTTTATTTTATAAAAAGATGTAAACAAATTGTATATTCATGAAATGCAATTACAAAAAATTCTAATGGATTTGGTTCATGATCAAGTGCCTCATCTTGCAAACATTTACCCCAATTGTGATTGCTACAACATAAATTTACCATTTTGATCAACTCCTTTCAGCTTCTCCTTAATCTGCTTTGACAACTGAAGAATCTCAGGGGTCTGTACGTTTAACAAATCAGAATATAAGAATGATAAATTGCTAAGAACATGTATAAGGAAAAATTAGGTAAGTACAATTTCTGATATAGAGATAGCAATAGCTGCTTTAGCATCCTTCTTCAATGGAACATTTCCTGAACTCCATGTGGTTACAAGTTAAAGTCCCGACATAATCATCTCAAACTGATTTCCCAGACATTTCATCCAACAGATGGAGGTTGAACATTTGTTTTGTTAGGATTTCGCTTACTTGGACCAGAATCTTGGATTCTTAGAGGCTTAGATAGCTTCTGCTATTACTGTTTCTTTGGGGCACATCCCAAATTAAGGGCGACTGAACAACATAACAAGAGAGTTATCAACTAAATGAATTCAACCCTTCGAACATGAAAAAGATGGAATATATATTTTTTAATGAAATTTAACACATAAAGATGCAATTTCCAATTTCAATATGTATATGCGAAGAGAGGTCAACTGAGAAATAAAGAGATGCCATACCACGGCTACCGATGATGTTTACTCTGACATTCGCAATTGATACCCTCGTGATTTATGAACAGTGAATATGTAGAAAATCCCCACCCAAACGATCAACAAACCTACATAAACAATATGTAGTTTCCTTCTGTTTTTTAAGTTGCAGTATAGAAAACAGGGTAATACTAGAAATCCCAATTTTAAGAAAAACAGATTTAAAAAAAAAAAAAAAAAAAAAAAAAAAAAAAAACCGCCAACGAAAAAGAGGAAGAAGAAGACAGGGTAATACTAGAAATCCTAATGAGAAGAAAGAGAATTCAAAAAGAAACAACAACCATACTTCTATTTTTTTCTTATCCATATATACAGAGGAAATTACAACATCTAAATAAGAGAAAAAAAAAAACCCTAAAGAACTGAAATACAAAGGAGAAGAGAAAAACAAAAAGAATGAAAACTTACAGCAATCTTGATCATTTCTTTGGATTATAGGCACGGTGGTGAGTGTCCGGCGAAGGATACGGGTGCTACAGAGATCGCGATAAGGCTCTCCGGTGGTGTTTGGAGAGCGGGATGTGTGCAGAGTGAAGAGTCGAGAGAAGAACGTATATAACTTGCGCCAATACACCGACCCAACCTCTTCAACTCCCAAATGCAAAGGTTCTTTTTTTTAAAACCTTTCCAAAATTAATAACTTCCTAAATTACAGTTTATTATATAAGCAATATATATCATATTGTTTATTTATTATTATTTTTCTATAAAACAACTTAAAATTTATTTAATTTATATATTTTTATAAAAGAACTCAAATTTATGATTATGTTATTTATCCATCTTTTATATATTAAAGATAGTTTCCTGGGTAAATTACAAACTTGATCCCTATTACATTCTTTGAATATCACATTCGATTTGTTTAGTCGATCTTCGTTTATATTAAAAATACTAGTTTTTCTTTTTTATTTTTATTTTTTATTTTTTAATATTTATTAAATTATAGAAAAAAGCACATACCCCTATCCTTAAGACTCATCTTTCCTAACCATCATTGAATCATTCCGTAGGTATGCCCATCTTCATCACTTCTTTTTAGTTTTAGATATATTTTTTCTCCTCTCATTCTCATTTTCTATCTATTGTCGATACACCAACCTTCATATATCTTGAAACTTTCATTGCTCATCTCCATTTTGTCACTTTTTTTCTCTATTATGGTCTTTTTTTATCTTTCACCGTCATCCCACCAATGATCCCCCCCTCATTTTTCTATCATCTCCTTCTCAACTTGTTGAATTAAACCATGTAATATGACGAGTCAAAGGAAACTCACATTGCCTTTTATATTTGAGTTGGTGGTCTTAGCATATGTCTACACTAATGGCCACATTGTATGATTTTAAAGACCCTCACATTGTGAAGTCTAACTCTTGCACTACAAGCATAGAGTTTTCTTCAATGAGAGGTGGCGAATAGAGTATGCTGAATAATATCATGCACATAAACATCTAATAAGAAAAAGAAGAGACATAACATGTGTATCGAAGTCTTCTTCAACGAGAGGACATGTAGATAAAGACGGCGAACCGTTCTTGATGGGGAGGAGATGAGACGGGAGAAAGAGAGACAAATAAGACATATGAGAGAAGATAAATGGTTTAATCATCTTCTAGGAGCCACATCATAGTTATGTGGCAACTGGCAACCGGTCGAAACCTCCTAAAATGGTTAAATGATGACAAAGTTGGAAGTTTAAGTGGTTAATTAGCATGATTAGAACTTTAGTGACCAAATCGTGACAAAATTAAAACTTCCATGATAAAAAAAGTTAATACTCATTGTTTATTTAAGTTTCATATTTGTATTGGTATTTTTATATCGGAGGTTTTTTTTAGATTTTATAATTTTATATTTAATTATGATGTAATACTAATGTTTCATCCGGCTATTTGGACTAGTCGAACCGATTGAACCATCAAATCAATAAGATGATTAGTCTAATTTTCAAAACATTAATAATGTATAATATAAACTAGTTTTCACTTTAGATAACCAAATCACATACATAAATATTAATATATATAATATGTTTATAAAACTTGACTTTAACATTATTTTACTAAAATATAAAACTAAAAGTTTATTATTATTATTTTCACACTTTACAATAAAAGCTATATACAAAAAAACCATATCTTCTAAAATATAATAAATAAGCATAATCTTTTTATAATTGGTACTGTTTGTCTTATAAGTTCATATATTTTGATAAATCTTATAATCAGTATATATTTTATAAGTGCGAGTAACATAACTCTTTTTATACTACCATAAATTAATATAAACTTAAGTAAATTAGAATATACCAACTATTTAGATTATAAAATAAAATTAATTAAATTTTAAATAATAGAAAAAATGAGAAAGTGCTCAACCAAGTAACGATATAATTACCGTATGACACTTGTCATTTAAAAAAAAAATACAATTTAAAATTAAAACTAAGCAATATCTCATGGGGAGGTGGTGAATAGAGTGAGCCGAATAATATAAAAATATCCAATAAGAAAAAGAAGAGACATGACATGACACGTGTATCGAAGTTGTGTATTCTAGATTTGAAGTTGGTGCATGCGACCGGAACGTCAATGCGGAGGCCTCCTGACTTTCCCTTTCTATTTTTGTAATCGTCAACCCCTACATATACCACACACCGCCCATTTTTCTCATTACTTTCATCCTCACAATAATTTCTATTCTCCCTTCAATCCATAATCCAATGAAGTTTTCTCTGGTTCTCCTTTTTGCTTCATCTCTCTTCCTCCATGGAACCACCGGTATGTATCTCTTTCCCTCTCATTTACATGCTTTATTTATATGCATCTCCATTATGCATGCTTCATAATTAATCGTTCATCGTAATGTATATATCTATAGGTGAGATTTTATGCGAGGATTTGACAAAGAATAATTGCTCATTTGCAATCTCATCTTCTGGAAAGAGATGCGTGTTGGAGAATTTCGAAGATAAGAAAGGAAAAGTGGAATATCAATGTAGAACATCGGAAGTGGTGGTGGAGATATTATCAGAGTACATCGAGACAAACGAATGCATTAGAGCTTGTGGCGTTGATAGAAACGCTACAGGGATTTCATCCGACACTTTGCTCGATAAAAAATCCATCGTCACACTCTGCTCACCTGCGTGTTATCAGAAATGCCCTAACATCATCGATCTTCACTTCAATTTGGCCCTCGGTGAAGGTATTCATTAATTATTACCCTAGCTAGCTAGCTCCTTTCAATCTACACGTACATGATCGATCTCCATGTCTGTAACTTTTCATTTCGAAATGTATGATTACTTTTACAGGAGTATCGTTGCCGGATCTTTGTGAACAACAGCGTAGCGACCCTGATTGTAACATGATCGATCTTCTAAGCTCGAGTGCTGCAAGTGGTCCGGTGGGTAGTGGAACGCATCGCCTGTTTAGTGCAGCACCAGCCCCTTTTTCGTTCTAAGACATTTGGTTATATATTGTGTTGGTGTATACATCCGATATATACGTGTGTGTGTGTGGGTTGTTTGAAATTTTGTAATAGATTGTTATTGGCGGAATAATTAGCAAACTAGAGAAAGTAAATAGACGCATATACATCACTTGATCTTTTTCATTGATCATTTGAATCTTTTGTAACCCATGTCTTTTTCTCTTATATGATGAGCAAGTTTTAGATTAATTAATTTGTTTTTCTCTATTTTGGGTTGTTATGTTTTTGGATACATATAATCAGCTGTAATAAATACACTTTAGTAAATGTTTGATAATAAATTATAAAAGTATCAATTATATATGACTCCAAAAAATTATATTTTTCATAACAAACTTATTAAGTAGCTAGAAACTAAAAATATAGATGAAAGGTATTTAAAATAGTTGTAGAAACTTATTAAGTAGCTAGCAACTAAAAATATAGATGAAATGTATTTAAAATAATTGTAGAAAATGAATACTCAACCACTTATTTAAGTGATCATGGGCCAAGTCCCACTCATAGTCGATGGTCTCCACAATCCAATAGTCTCTTGGTAACTAGTAACCAAACCAATTTGCCTTCAAAAGCATTAAAAAGCATGGCGGTCTTCTCATCGGTCATCAAGAAGTTTACTTATGTAGCATTTCATTTTATAAAAGAAGAACACAAGCAATTAACGGGCTAGAAGAAATCACAACCAATAGCAAATATACAGACCAAGGAGTACGGATAGGAGTCGGGTTACCATGTGTATTAGAAAAGGATTAACGATACATTTAAAAGAAAACATTGTCATATTCGCGTGGCAGGCAGCAGACATGACAGGTGTACCCAGACTACTCGTCGAGCACAAATTAAATGAGTAAGCAGGAAGTACGCCAATTCAACAGAAAAAAAAGGGCAATCAAAAGACAGGAATGAAGCAATAAATGACGAGATCGATAAACTGATAAAATTAGGAATAGTATGGGAGTCGATATTCCCATCGTAGGTAGAAAATCCAGTCTTGGTCAAAAAATGAGATTGATAATGAAGGATGTGCATAGACTTCACGGACTTAAACAAAGCTTGTCCAAAAGACTGTTACCTGTTACCATCCGTCGATGAAAAAATCGAGTCCTTGCACGGGCATAAATGGAAGAGTTTTTTCTCTCGTGATTAATCTCATCTAAACTGGTTGTTGTGACATCCCCATTTTCACGGTCAGAAAATACCGATTTTGTTTATGCTTTGTTTAAAAATCAGAGTAACATTTTAAATAAAAGTGTTGCAGAATTTGTTCCCAGTAAAACATCATAAGTACGTTATCAAGGTATTTCTGAAGAAACTTATTTTTATTAATTTTAAAACATTTGGGATGTCATCGTCAATACAGAAACATAAGCATAAACAAAACTTACATTCATTATCACTAGTGATTTATATCTCCTTAATCTCTGAGTGTAATGTGATTTCATATCAACACATGTGATATAAATAAACTGAGTGGATCAGGTTGGGAAACCTGGTGAGTACATAGGATTTTCAACCCATAATAATATAGTTATTATGTTTAATCATCAAACAATTAACCTAATTACTCATACCCATTATCTTCTTTACTCTTAAGGAATATCCTTTCATTCTTTCCTAAGGATTATCCTAAGGAATAGGCACGAAATCCATCATTGTCAGGGTTTACTCAACAAGCACTAAATCCATAGTTGCCAGGGTTTGCTCAACAGGAACTAAATCCATAGTTGCCAGGGTTTGCTCATCAGGCACTAAATCCATAGTTGCCAGGGTTATCTCGTTTATCGACAGTATCGTTTCTAAGAAGCCACTCACAATACATGTCAATGGGTTTCTACCTCGTTTATCGACAATATCGTTTCCGAGAATCCACTCGGAATACATGTCAATGGGTTTTTAGAGTACAGTTGATGAATACACAGTTCAAATAACACCTACAGGTTGCGAGCCTGCTAGTGTTCCATTGGACTGTCTAGAATAGTCTGTGGTTGTCATTCATACTCTGCTAGATGACGAAGCCAACACTTGGGTAAAAGACTTCTCTCATGGTTCACCTCTCACCCTTATATCATGGTTTATATCACTTCTTATCATTTTGTTTTTGTCACACAACAACTATTTCATCTACCCATGTTTTACCTAATACATTTTGTAGATATAAAATACATATACAGTTTAAATCATTTAAAACATGTATAAAAATCTTTCACCCAGCATAGATGGCAAGTATACAGACAATATGAACACATAGCATGTAATTTATACTAAATACTTCATATCTATGTGTAAGATGAAAGTAACTATGCACTCACTTGTTAAAGTTTCCAAACTCGGGCAACGCTTCGCTTCTAACAATTCTATTTTCCTTCGACGAAACCTAGCATTATTATTGCTAAGTTTTAGTCTAATCTTTATTGCGACTAATTATTAGTCTAGATTCATCATTAACTCAAAGTCTACTTTATGATTTGTCAAGTAAGGAACAACCAGATAGGATCATATCGGAGGTAGGGTCCGTTTGATATACGAAGTATACTGTTTGGAAATCCCACTTTAAACACCACACTAAATCAAAGCCTAGACATCATTTCCGTAAGTAGATCGATCAGTATAACGATTTTGAATCACTGATAAATCTTATTTATAGGTTCATAATAACGATATTATATTTATATATAAGCCATATTTAAAGTATGGTAGGCGTAGCTCACTTACAGCGGGTTTTTCTCAAAACCGGTCTTCGCTGGAGCAGCGTTCCCGAGCCGAAAGGCTCTTCTTCTCGGAGCCATCGGGCACTACAGGACTTCCGCCTCATGCTAGGGAGGTTCCCTAGGCTTTTCGGGGGGTTTCGAGGCTAAAGAGAGGTTCTAGAAAGAGGGGGAAGTGATGGAAGGGGTGAGGAATGAAGAGGGCTTCACCTCTTATTTATAGGGGGCTGGAGGAAGATGCATGTCGTGAATTTCTTGTTGTTCACATCGTCAGTGAGCTTGGGCTCCAAGTCTGAGCCAGGTGCTGACATGTGGCATCGCACACAGGGTGGAAATCAGCCGATTTTTAAAAATTCATAACTTTCGCATACGAGCTCCGTTTTTGACGTTCTTTATATCTATGTGTAGGTAAAAATAAGATCTACAATGTTAATTTTGACTCCATAGGCTAATTCTCGCCCGACCTTAAATTTAACAGTACGAGTAGATTATATGGCTAAATGTTCACGTAAAATTCATAAATTCTACATACGGACTCTGTTTTTGTCTGTCTTTTTACCGTTGAGTTCCTATTAATGAGATCTTCAACTCTCTTTAGGTCGCGTAGGCCAAAAACTGTTCGATCTAAAATTCGAGTTTCGGATCGTGCACTGCTATGCCAAATCTTAGAAAATTCATAACTTCCTCATATGAAGTCAAATTTGGGCATTCTTTTTTTTTGTATGTTCTCGGTTTAACGTATACTACAACTTTTGTTTAGATATTTAAGGTTAAAAAGTAGTTTATAAAAAAAATCACTTTTTACGATTCCCGGTGCCATGCCGGTTTTGCCATAAAACTTCGACAGGTCATAACTTCTTCGTTATAACTCGGATTTCGACATTTTTTATATGTACGGAACCCTTGTAACATATACTACCACTTGGAAAAGATTAATCCTTATAAATAATCTTCCATCAAAAACTCATTTTTGATGTTTATTGTCTCTAAATTGACTAGCCCGGATCTGTGGACGCTACAATTGTGGCACAAGAGGTTATCGGATTTGAATTTTAAGAACATATCGAAGATATCTGGGAATCAACTTGTAGGGGGAATTCTAAAAATGCAATTTGTCAAGGATAAGATGTGCTCAGTGTGTGAAAAGGAAAAGAAAATCGAGTCTTCTTTCAAACCTAAGTCATGTTCTTCATTATCAAACATTTTCATCTTCTTCACATGGATCTTTTTGGACCAATGTCGGTTAAGTCAGGAGCTGGGAAGAAATGCACTCTAGTCATTGTGGATGAATTTTCAAGATTTACGTGGCTAGTTTTTTTTAAGAAAAAAGAGTTATGTCGCTGATGAAATCATTGCTCTCATTAAGCAGTAGGAAGTTCTCTATGATCACAAAGCAAGGCAATTATGTAGTGATCATGGAACTGAATTCAGGAACTCCTCTCTGGAAGACTTGTGCTCTAACTCAGGAATCTCTCAAAACTTCTCCGCTGTTAGAACTCCCCAACAAAATGGTATTGTAGAAAGAAGGAACAAAACTCTCATTGAAGCTGGAAGAACTATGGTTGTTAAAGTTGGTCTTCCTCCGTCATTTTGGGATGAAGCTATTAACATAACATGCTATACTCAAAATCGTCCATTATTGTTAAGCGTCATGGAAAAACTACTTATGATCTACTAAAGGGAAGAAATCCAGATATCTCCTACTTTCATGTGTTTAGAGGTGCTTGTTACATCTTGAATCAAAGAGATCGACATTCTAAGTTTGAAGATAAAGCTGATGAAGGAGTTTTTCTTGGTTATTCCAGCATATCCAAGGCTTTAAGGATATTCAATCTTTCAAGGCAAAGTGCAGAGGAAATAGCTCACGTCACCTTGTATGAAGACTCGTTCATTCATGATTAAGTTGATCATCCTTCATCAATGTTGAATGAACTTACACACAATCCTTCAGACCCTATTCCTGATTTCTTGCGAAATGATGTTGAGCCTGTTGTTCCAAATGTTGATCAATTTATCAGCTCACAATCTATCTCTTAAGATCAGCCTGTCATCCTTAAAGAAGCTAAACCATCCATTCAGGAAAACACTGCTCAAAGTATTACGAATGAAAGTTCTAATCCAAGAATTCTTCGAGATCATCTTGAATCTCACATCACTGGAGATGTAAATTATGGGATTCTCACTCATAGCAGAGTCAACAGCAACTTCTGCATGTTTGCAAACTTTGTTTTCATGATTGAACCAAAGAATGTCATTGATGCCTTGAAAGAAGCTAACTGGATCAAGGCTATACAGGATGAGCTGAATGAATTTGAACGTCATCATGTATGGACTCTTGTTCTAGAGCCTCAAGGAAAAAGTATCATTGGTACCCACTGGGTTTTCAAGAACAAAATGGATGAAGATGGGATTGTTATTAGAAACAAAGCCAGATTTGTGGCTCAAGGTTTCTGTCAACTGGAAGGGTTAG